AAAGTGCCGACAGTTTCGCAGTTGCAAGCCCCCCAGGGGGCGGCGAGGTCCCGAGGTGGTCCGCGTGGGACCCACCTCCGCTGGGCCTCCCAAGAGCCCACGAAAGTGCCGGCAGGTGCGCAGATCGCAAGCCGCCCATGGGGGCGGCGAGGTCCCGAGGTGGTCCGCGTGGGACCCACCTCCGCTGGGCCTCCCAAGAGCCCACGAAAGTGCCGACGGTTTCGCAGATCGCAAGCCCCCCAGGGGGCGGAGAGTTTCCGAGGTAGTCCGCGTGGGACCCACCTCCGCTGGGCGTCCCAGGAGCCCACGAAAGTGCCGACAATTTCACAGATCGGCCCTCCCAGGGGCGGTGAGGTCTCGAGGTGGTCCGCATATGACGTACCTCCGCTTGGCCTCCCAGGAGCCCACGAAAGTGCCGACAGTTTCGCAGATCGCAGCCCCCAAGGGGACCGCGAGCTACAGTCGGGGCCCTGGAGAAGGAACCCTTTTCGTTGGGGAGGGGCTCGGTGTTCCTTGATTGTTTCACAGCTTGCCTTAGGTTTCCCTTAAGGTTTTTGATATGGAATCGAAGTTTCACTTATGGAAAATAAGGGCCTCGTTCCTTATTTAGGGTTCCTTAGGTCAGCGCCCCGACTGTATCGTTGTGATCTGCGTATGACGTACCTCCGCTGGGCCTCCCAGGAACCCACGACAGTTTCGCAACCCCTAGGCACGCCCACCCAACAGACAAGACGGCGAGGCAGGAATCAGGAACCAGACGGCACGAGAGAAGAGGAGAAGGGAACACAGGAAACAGGATAGAAAGAGGAGAGGAGAGGAGGAGGAGGACGAGGAGGAGGAGGAGGAGGAGGAGGAGGAGGAGGAGGAGAGGAGGAGGAGGTGGAGACCAAACTGCTCTATTCAAAACGAGAACCCAACACAGGAGGGTTGGGAACAAATGGGGGGGCGTCACATGCCTTCGACTCGGGGGGGGGGGGGGGGGCAGGGGCAGGCTCCGCGATGGGCTGATGGGGCACCTCGCTTGCTGCGAGCGGGGGCGGCGCCTCTCCGCCCAGGTCGGGGTCCTGCCGCGCGGGGGGCGGGGGCCGTCTTCGCGGAAGGCTGCTTCGCCCCGGCGGGGGTCTCGCGCTCTGCGGTGCCGGGGGCTTCCAGCGACGGGGGTCGACGCCAACGGGTGTCAGTCAGAGCGCTGGATCTCGCAGGATCCTGCAGGGCCAGGGGTGCACTGACCCGGGCTTGGGCGCAGGCTCCTGCAGGGTTCTGCAGGATCCGGCGAGGTCTGACTGGCCCGGGTCTGGACTGCCCCGGGTCGGTGGATCCCCGACAGTGGGCGGCGGTGGGCGGCGGGGTGCGGCGCTGCACCCGGACCTTGAGCTTCGACGGTCGGCCTTCGAAGGTTGAGTTGCTTGGTTGTTAGCGCAGGGGGGGTTCTCGTCGCCATGCCCGGATGCGTTCCGAGATTCGGGCTTTCCCTCGCCCTCATCCTTCCAGACCTTCCGTGCTGGCCGTCCACACCCATGCGCTTCGTGAAGCGCTGAGTTTTCCTGTTTCCTGAGGGTTTCGATAGTTTCAGTGCATCACCTTCCGCGCCTTCCGCAGAGGTCGGAAGGTATGGAAGGTGGAGCTGGAGGGTTAACGCGCCCAAGGATCGAGAGGTCTAGGATCAGGTTTGTATGGGAAAAGCCGGTTTAGCACGGGGTCCGCCGCAGAGCGCGCGCGATGAGATCTGATGGAATCCGTGAGGAGATCCGCAGGATTCCTGAAGAGTCCCGGGGGATCTGTCGGACATCCTCATGACACCTTCTGGACATTCCTCAGGGCAGGATTCCTCCAGACCCCGCAGCAGATCTCCAGGATTGTTTGGGAAATTCGCAAGGTTTCCAGGGTCATCCTGCGGAACCCATCGGACATCCTCCAACATTGCTGGCGGTCCTGAGGAGATTATTCGGATTCCTCCAGATCTCCTTGACATGTGCGGGGCACCGCAGGGTGTCAGGGATGCCTGACGGTATCCCGGACGTCTGTTCGACTACGTATAGGTTCTTTTCGATCGCGAAGGCAACCCTGAGGATAGCTAAAGCATTCGTAGGACACCCACCATGGAATGCATGAGGAGCTCCGTGGGATCTTCAACATTCTGGAGGAAGTTGTCACGAAACCTGGCACCTGCCCATGGACATTTCTCAGCTGCGTAAAGACTTCCAGGGAAGGCCGCAGGGGCAGGAATCCTGCGTTGGGGGCGGGGCGCCAGCCTAGCTCGCCGGGCGGCGCCGGGCCTCCTGTCTTGTTCCTGTGCGTGGGAAGCTGCTCAGAGTCGGAGTCCGCTCGGGTGTTAGGTGGCAGGCGAGCAGAGAGGGAGGGGGGGGGGGCAGGGTCGAGATTCGAGGTTCGACAACGTGTGGTCTTGTCTTTGCAGGCTCCGCGGGAGGGCCTTTCTCCAGCGCCGGGGCCAGCACCGACGGATCGGGGGTGGAATTCTGCACCAGATGCTCTCGCACTCATTCTTCCAGACCTTCCGTGCTGACCTTCCACACCCATGCGCTTCGTGAAGCGCTGAGTTTTCCTGTGTTTCCTGAGGCTCTCGATAGTTTCAATGCGTCAGCTTCCGCGCCTTCCGCGGAGGTCGGAATGTATGGAAGGTGGAGGTGGAGGGTGGGCCACGACGGAGGGGTCCGAGCACCGATCTTGACCCGATTTGGCGTCATCCCGCTTGGGTGCCTGCTCGTCTTGTGCCCCAGTCAGTTCAGACCCCCTGGCCGCCTCCAAGCTCAGAGGTCCCCCGGGTGGCTCGGAGGCGAAGCGGGAGTTCGTTGAATTTGTGTGTGCTTGCGCTGGACAGCGGAGGCGAAACCCGCTTTCATGCGTCGCGTGAGGACAGGCGAGCGAGATCTCGCTTGTTCCGTCGTTCGCCACCGCGCCGTGGCAGCGCCCGCGGGTGCGCCCTGGCCTTGGCCCTGGCTGCTGCCGCGGTCCCCGCCTCCCGGGCTGGCCGCTCCGGCCCGCTCACCTCGGAACTCTTCCACGTTTGAGCGCCTCTCGCCTTCTGCCCCCGCACGGTCGTTCCCTCTTCTCCTCTTCCTCGCTCTTTTGCGCGCCGGACAACTTGCCCGTCGCTGCCCCCGATCAGCCCCACGCTGGTGCAGATCGCCCCTACCCCGCCGCCGACGAGGAAAGTTCCGCTTCTCGCCCAGCGCTCCGCCTCAACGCTACGACCAACGGTCGCCCGCGCCTGACATCCGTCGGGTGCGGCGCTCGTTCGGACGAGGAGGGAAGATGCGGCGGCGGAGCAGCGAACGGTTTCCAGAAAGTGCCTTGGAGCACTGGGCGACCACATGGGCGCATCAAGAGCTACATATGGTTCATTTCTAAGTATTCGAAAGTTCTTTGATTTTTTGTGGGCCCGAGATCCTATTATTTCTAATTGTTCTATCCTGGGCCTCTTCCTGGCCACTAGTTGGCTAGGAACATTCAGACACAAGCACACTTAGAAATGAGCACGATTAGAAATTAACGACGTGTACTATTGGCTCGGCGTCGGCAAACAAAGAGCCACCCCCGCCCAGGGCTCAAATCTAGCCAGGGGGGACTCCACTGAGCCTGCATCTGGTGGAGAATCCAGCACCCTACCACGAAGAACGAGCAGCCACCACTGCAGGGCGCAGCCAGTGTCTTCGCGGAGAGCGCATGAAACAAGAATGGGCGGCGAGCGCGACAGTGGCACAGCTCGGAAGACGAGCAGGGAGCGCACTGGTCACCCGCGCAGAGGAGGAGGAGGAGGAGGAGGAGGAGGAGGAGGAGGAGGAGGAGGAGATCGCCGCTCGACTGAAATACCGCCACAGTCTCGCTATCCCAAACTCCGCAGAGAAGGACCCAGAGATCCAACGTATTGAAAACATCAAGACGGAGATTTTTCACAACCTTCGGCCTCCCAGGGCCCTCGCCGGGCCTCAGGACCGTCAAAAAACGACTCTGGATGAAATACCGGTCCTGTGGAATGGGTCGAGACTTCCGGGGACTCCGTATTGAGAAAGTCACGACATCGGATCTCTGGGGAAGGAGGGGCGGCGGGCGACACTGGAACGGGCAGACGGAAACGACGGTGCACGAGGCCCCAATCATTACCCGTGGTTTGCGCCGGCGCCGCCGGCTCCCGGCAGTCTGTTCAGCCACGCGCAGCCCTTCCGACCTCTGCGGAAGGCGCGGAAGGTGATGCATTGAACCTATCGAAAGCCTCAGGAAACGCAGGAAAACTCAGCGTTTCACGAAGCGCATGGGGGTGGAAGGTCAGCACGGGGGGTTTGGAAGAATGAGGGCGAGGGAGGGGGAAGGGGGAAGGCTTCTTGGCAGCATCCCCGCTTCTCAGAAGGCGAGGGCCTCCCCTGTAGATGTGAGGCCGGCGCCTCTCAAGAGGCAGCCTCCTTCTACAAGGCCTTTGCCCCCCTTCCCCCTACCCCCTTTTCTGCGGGCCGTCAGTCTTCAGGAGGAGAAGAAACACACAGACACAATTAGTCGTCGATTCCCAGGGAAATATGGGAAAGTATGGTCAGTGGGGGGGAAGACGAAGCTCCAGAAAATGTAGGGCAAAATATGAGGAATCTCCTGGGATTTGGGTGTATTTCTCTGTGTGTGTGTGTGCGCGTGTGTGTGTGTGTGTGTGTGTCCTTGGGCCCCTTCAGTTATGCGGGCCGCCGGTCTGTGCTGCGCGGCGACGGAGAGGGAGCGAAAGCCAGTGGGAAGCAGGCGGGCGGCGGCGAGCGCGCGGGCGGGGCAGCCACAGGGCGGGAGGGGCGGAGCAGGCGGGCGGGCAGGGGTCGGGCATACGGTGCTGGTTTTGATACATGCTCCGCGCGCGGATCATGTATTAAAAATGCAAGGGTACAGTATTAAAAGCAACGATGCGTTCATGCATAGATTGATTCAGACATTGATCATGCATTAAAAGTTTTTTTTTGAACAACCTATGTATTAGAGACTGCCCTGTAGCCAGGACCCCAGGCTAGGGGACCCGGTCAGTGATAGGGCCTTGGAGCCCCTAAACTGGCCAGAATCACGGAACCAGGCCTGCCGTACCCTCTATCTCCACCCTCCATACCTTCCGGCCTCTGCGGAAGGCGCGGAAGGTGATGCATTGAAACTATCGAAAGCTTCAGGAAACGCAGGAAATTTCAGCGTTTCCCGAAGCGCATGGGTGTGGAAGGTCAGCACGGAAGGTCTGGAAGAATGAGGGCGAGGGTTGGAGCTCCTAAACTGGCCAGAATCACAGAACCAGGTCTGCCGTAGTAGTTCGTGTTTTCTTTCGGGGGACGGCAGTTCCGGTGAGTGGAGCGGGGCGGGGGGGGCGTTCCCCGGTACACACCCGTAAACGAGGTCCCATTAAACCAAGTCTTGGCAACGCCCGAAGGGGGGGCTTCCAGAGGAGGGGTGGCGGCGAGAAGACACGACCACGCAGCAGCAGCAGCAGCAGCACAACCACCACCAGCACCAGCGGAGGCAGAGGTCATATTTGAAAAAGCGTGGAGCCCAAATCCCTGCGTGGGGCATTCTAGAGGGGGCCTCGCCTTCGAAGAGCTGGCAGCTTTTCCTGGGTGGGAGACGGCGAAAGGCGGGCGGCCGGCGGCGAAAGGCCGGCGGGAGCCGGCGGAAGTAGCGGAAGTAGGATGTGCGCCCCCACACAGATGGCAGCGTTTCTGGGCTCGGGCTTTCCGGAAGCCATCACGTAGGTTCATGGAGCAGATCGGATGGGAGCGCCGTGGTGCCGGGCCTCATCGGTCTTGCCTTCTCTTCTTCTTTCCACGCCCTCCTCTCCCCACGTGCGCGCTGACTTCCTGGAAGGCCCATGGGCTAACAGACGCCGGTGCGCTTCACTTGTTCACGTTCCGTGGCGCTCGCGTGCGGTCTCGCCTCATGTCCTGACTGTTGCGGCGCCTGCGGTGTCGGAGGATGTCCACGATGCAGCTCTGAACCCGGGGGGCGTTCCTGTTTCCGGTTCGCTGTCGCTCAGCTTCAGCATGCAGCTGTTAATGACTGTACAGTAGGCGTTCACAAGATAGTGCGGCTCACATTGGGATCCTAACCCTCCTACTCATACGACCTGTTGAGGCGGAGGCGGAGGACCAGCGTAAGTCCAGGGTGCCTCAGCGATCCCGCCCCGAACTTCCTGATCGGAAGTCGCTGCAGGCGCGCATCTTTTTCACTCAGGAAGCCCCCCTAGTAAGACTAGGGCCCCATAGGCCTGACATTCCAGCGAGAGCGCCGTTTTGAGAAAGAACCGTTCTCCGTCCGTGTATCTGTTGCACCGTTAGCTGCGCTGATCCGCCTGTGCCGAAACGCAACACGTACCGTGATCAAAACGTCCGTGTTGACACGTTGTGTGTTGAGTCATCGTGGGCTCCTGCCCAAGGTGTACCTTTTCCTGCACGTCCCGTTCGGCACCGCCTGATCCCTGGGCTTTGCCCGCTCCTGGCCGCCTGAGGCCCCGCCTGCTGCCGCCCTGCCTCCCTAATTTTAAAGCTGTGCGCGTCCCGCTCAGCTCTCAGCGGAAGAGCTTCGCTCTCGCCCCGCAGATCAAGCAAACAAAAAAAGATGAGGCATTGCGTCGGCCCATCTCTTGGCGAACCTGCCGCGCCAGCGTGCTCCACATCTCCGTGCTGTGAGCGCCGTGCCAGCACGCCACGGCTTGCGTGTGGCGTATGGGGCAGCCAAGGCTGCACGTGTGTCCATACCTCGCAGAACAGCCCATGCTGCCAATGTGAAACAGATCCCTATCCCTACGTTTGGCATCAACTCATCTCGATGCCGATCTGAAGGACCCCCTCAGTTTCTGAGGGTCTATCCCTACGATTGTCCTCGCTTTTTGCTTGCCCATCTTAGGGATAGGGCTAAGTTCGAGACTGGTTATCATGAGGAAGCTGGCGGCGAGAACGCCGCCGTGAAAAGGAGGTGCCCTCTGTCTGGTCAGTTTCTCTTCGTCATTCTTTCCGGTCGCCTTCGGCCCATCCCCCAGCCTCCCCCTCTCCCTCCTCCTTCTCCTCCTCCTCCTCCTCCTCCTCCTCCTCCTCCTCCTCCTCCTCCCCCTCCTCCTCCTCCTCCTCCTCTCCTCCTCCTCTCCTCCTCCTCCTCCTCTACTCCTCCCCCTCCTCCTCCTATCCTGTCCTCTCCTCCTTCTCCCCCTCCTCCCTCCCCTCTCTCCTCCCCGAAAGCGCTGGAGTCCTCGCCCCCGGCTCTCGGGGGGGGGGGGGCGCCCCGGCCCGCGAGGCCCTCCGGGCCACCCCGGACCGCCGCGCCCCCGAGAGGCCCGCATGGAGGCCAACGCCTCCATCATGAAAAGCCTCCGGGAAGTCCTCGTCAGCGGGGGGAAGACCAACGCGGACTCGAGGCTCGGTCCTGCCAGGAGGGGGGAGGAGCAGGGGGATGAGGAGGAGGAGGAGGAGGAGGAGGAGGAGGAGGAGGAAGAGGAGGAGGAGGAGGAGGAGGAGGAGGAGGAGGAGGAGGAGGATGGCTCGAGAACTCGAGGCGCGTTGGACCCCCACCTACCCTCGTTGCGAACCTGGGGGGTCCACAAACCTGAATTGGAGTCAAGCAATCTGCTGACACGCGTGCTACACTTTCCCTCTTCTGCGCTGGCACCACTAATTACCTCCTGCCCTTCCTCCTTCTCCTCCTCGTCCTCTTCCTCCTCCGCCTTATTTTTCTCCTCCTCCTCATCATCATCATCAGCAGCATCATTATTATCATCACCATCGTGTCTCCTGTCTTTCTTCGTCGCTCGTCCGCCTTCCTTCTCGTCCTCGTTGTCCCTTTCATCGCCTGCCCGGCCTGCCCATCCCCCTCCCCCTCCCCCTCGTGCTCCCCCTACCCTTCTCTCCCCTCCCTGTCCTACTTTCCTCTTCTTCGTTCTCCCGACCTCACCCCCTCCCGTTGTCGTCGTTTTCTCTGCCCCGCGCGCACGCGCCAGGAGCATGTTAGCATGTTGTCCCCCCCCCCCCTCCGCACTCTTGTTTGACACGTGTAATGAAGCGCACCCCCCCCAATGAGTTGTGTCCCCCGCCTGCAGCCCCGTGGTCACGTGAGATAACGCGCCCTGCGCGCACTCGCCAGACAAATGTTGGATCCTCCCCCCGCGCACGTACACTATCTGCACGCGTGGACAATTCCCTCCCACCCACACCCCCAAGCTGGTTGGGTCCCCCATGGGGGCCGTGGGCACGTGAAAACACGTGGTCTCCGCGCACGCGCTGGGAGCATGCCGCCCCCCCCCCCCCCCACCCCACACACCTTTAATTTCCACTCGCGTATGGCTACGTGTGCGGAATTGCGCCCCCCCCCCCCCGAAATGAGTCCCCCCATTGGGGCCGTGCGCGCATGGGAAACACGTGCCCCGCGCGCACCCGCCAGGCCAGTGTTGGGCCCCTTCCTCCCTCTGCGCACGTGCTCCTTTTCGTGTAGGAAAGTAGGCCCCCTCCAGAGGATGCTCCGCAGACGGCCCCGTGGGGCACGTGAAAACACATACCCGCGCGAGCACGCCAGGGGCGCATGTTGGGCCCCCCCCCTCCGCGCACGTAGGGTCCCCCCCCCGGGGGTCGCGGACACGTGGAGCCACGTGCCCTCGGCGCACGTTGCCGCGCCAAGCGCATGTTGCCGTTCCCCCTCCCCCTCCGCGCACGGGCCAGGCGCTGTTGCCCCCACCCCCCTCCGTGCACGTATAGGGTCCCCTCTTTGGGGGTCGCAGGCACGTGAGCACACGTGCCCTCCGCGCACGCGCCAGGCGCATGTGAGGTCCCCCCCTCCGTGCACGCATTTGCATGTGCAACAGATTGGGCCTCCTTCAAGTTCGGTCCCCCCCTGGGGGCCGTGAGCACGTGAAGCACGTGGCCTGCGCGCGCGCCAGGCGCATGTTGCCCCCTCCTCCGCGCACGTTGTTTTCACGTCTAAAACATCCGCCGACTAGCAGCTGGGTCCCCCCTGGGAGCCGTGGAGACGTAAAAGCACGTGCCCCGCGCGCACGCGCCAGGCGCATATTGCCGCGCCAGGCGCATGTTGCCCCCCCTCCCCCCTCTTCCGCACATTTTTGTTCCGTGCGAAGACTCCGCCCGCCGGAAACGGAGTCCCCCTCTGATGGGGCCGTGGAGACGCGAAAGCACGTGCCCCGCGCTTGGGTCGCCGAGCGCATGTCGGGTCCCCCCTCTTCCCTCGCCCTCTTCCCTCGCCCTCATTATTCCTGCAGGATCCCTGCGCCCAAACCCAGGTCAGAGCGACCCTGGCCCTGCCGGATCCTACAAGATCCGGCGCTCTGGCGGACCCCCGTTTGCACTGACCCCCGTCTCAAGGCTGCCGACAGGCCCTCGCCCTCATTATTCGAGACCTTCCGTGCTGACCTTCCACACTCTCACGCTCCGTGAAGCGCTGCGTTTTCCTGCGCTTCCCGAGGCTTTCAACAGTTTCAACGCATCGCCTTCCGCGCCTTCCGCAGAGGTCGGGAGGTATGGAAGATGGAGGTGCAGGGTTCGCGAACGTTTTCGTGCACGTGTGAAGAATCCGCCGACCAGAGGTCTGATCCCCCCCTGGGGGCCGAGGGCCCGTGAACGCACGTGCCCCGCGCGCACGCGCCTGGCGAGTGTTGGGCCCCTCCCTCCGCGCGCGCATCTTCACATGCAAGGGATCCGCCGGCCAGAAGTTGGGGTCCACCTTCCTCGCGGGTACTCCCTGCACCTCCATCTTCCATGCCTTCCGACCCCCGCGGAAGGCGCGGAAGGTGATGCGTTGAAACCATTGAAAGCCTCGGGAAGCGCAGGAAGACTCAGCGTTTCACGAAGTGCAAGAGTGTGGAAGGTCAGCACGGAAGGTCTGGAAGACTGAGGGCGAGGGCTTGTCGGCAGCCTTGAGACGGGGGTCAGTGCAAACGGGGGTCCGCCAGAGCGCCAGATCTTGTAGGATCCGGCAGGGCCAGGGTCGCTCTGACCTGGGTTTGGGCGCAGGGATCCTGCAGGATCTTGCAGGATCCTGCGCTCTGACCCGGGTTTGGGTGCAAGATCTTGCAGGATCTTGCAGGATTCTGCTAAGCCTTACTGACACAGGTCTGGGTTGACCCAGGTCAAAAGATCCCCGAATTTGCACGTGTGACAAATCCCCGACTGTAAGTTGTGTCCCCTTGGGCGCCGTGGACCCGTGAAAGCACGTTTCCCGCGCGCCCGCCAGGCGCATGCTTACGCGAAGAGATTGGGGCGCACAAAGTTGGGTCCATTCCTGGGGGGCCCGTTGTGGCGATAAACTCGCCAACATCTTGTGCCAAACGCATGCACGCCGAGCCCTCCGCACTCTTAGTTTTACGTGTCAAGTTCCGACGCCTGCCGCTCGACACCTTTTTGGTTCAGGGCTACAAAAAGCCCGCCAGCACAAAGAGACCCCTGGCCTTTTTGGGCCCTCACCAGGGAAAAGACACGACGGGAAGGTTTGGGTGAGTTTCGGCATCTGGGGGCTCTTAAAGCGGGGCCCCCCCGGAGCGTCAAGAGACGGGTCGGGATGAAGAGCCGGTCACGGTGAAGGCCAGATTTGGGCGTCGCGTACAGTCAACCCGCATAGTAAGAATATCTCATCTTTCCCAAGTGTACCCTTGCATGCTTGCCCCTTCGGCCCATCCTTAGCGACTTTCGCTGGGAAGCCTCGTTCGAAAAACGTTAACATGGCCCTCCAAGGCCCTTGCATCCTTACCGCGCCTCTCCTCCTGATACGGGTCGATTGTAATGGGGGGCGATAAGTGGGGGGGCAGCGATGGCTGGAGAGAAGGGGGTCCTTGAGGGTCCCTAACAGGGGCCCTATAGGGCCCCCCAAGGGGGCCCGTTGGCCCGAGATGTGCACCTGTCTTCCCCTCCCGTTTATCGCCCCCCCCCCCTCCCCCAGTAAGCGACGCCCAACAGATTTTTTAGAGATCCGACGATCTGATCTGCTCAGCCGACGGTTTGTTCCTCAACTTGGGGCCTCGGGGGCCCTAGGTGCAGGGGCACAAGTGGGGCCATTCGGAACGGATCTGGGACGAAGGACTGCCCCCGGGGAAGCAGTTGGGACCTGCAGAGACCTACAGGGTCTGCTGATGGGTTGTGCGAGTGGCGTGTGTTTGCACCCGGCGAACAATGGCGACAACACCAGCAGGCGTTTGTTGCACAGGCTACTCCAGCCAAGTTCTACTACAAAGCGCAGTCCCCCCCGGGTCCTGCCCCTAGCGGTCCACTTTGCTGACAGGACTTGCTCTTTGCTCCTTGCTACAGGGCCGCGCGTCGGACAAAAAGACATGGGTGATCGAAGGCGATTCCCCCCCCTCGAATTCCCGAGCTCCGTCTGAAAAAGTTTGGCCCGCTCAGGAAAATAGGGAAACTGTGGGATGCACCCCAAGGGGACTGCTCGGACGCACCCCTATCGAGGATGGGCGCCCCCCCTCGTGGAGCATGGGGCAGCTGGGGCCCCCGTGGGGCCAGGGTCACCTCTGGCAGAACCCGACGATGTTCTTTTTTCAGTGCGCGTCCCGAGGACTCTCGCTCTGCCGGCACCGGTCCGAGTGTCACGGCCGCGGTGCACCGGAACCCCTCTGTGCATGAACGGCTTCGAGAGGAGGAGGAGGAGGAGGAGGAGGAGGAGGAGGAGGAGGAGGAGGAGGAGAAAGAGGCGGAGGCGGAGGCGGAGGAGGAGGCGGAGGGGGCGGAGGGAGGGGGAGGGGGGGGGAGGGGGAGGGGGAGGAGGAGGAGGAGGGGGGGAGGGAGGAGGGAGGAGGAGGGAGGAGGGAGGAGGGAGGAGAGGGAGGAGGAGGAGGAGGAGGAGGAGGAGGAGGAGGAGGAGGAGGAGGAGGCGGAGGAGGAGGAGGGGAGGAGGAGGAGGAGGAGGAGGAGGAGGAGGAGAGGACCACCCCTGGCCACACGGACGCGCAAAGCAGGCCCCAGGAGCAAAGGCCCCAGGAGCAACAAAAACAGCTCAAAAGCACAACTCTCGAAGGCCCGGCCGCGGACTGCTCAGGCCGGTGCTGTCGGCCCTCCTATCCGGGCGCCCGGCTTTCAGCTCCGACGCCGCGAGAATTCAATGCAGCATCTTGCAGAAACCTCGCCAGCTCCCTGGACCCCTCGGACGGGGCTAGGACGAGAGCACATCTGAGGAGGAGGAGGAGGAGGAGGAGCACGGAGGGGGAGAGGGATGGAGGGATGGAGGGAGGGAGAAAGGAAGGGAGGGAGGAAGGAGGAGAAGGAGGAGGAGGCCCCAGGAGCAAACCATCGGAGGCCCGCGCGGACTTCGACCCAGCCAGCTTTCTGAACCCCTCGGACGGGGCTATCACGAGGACAAACCTGTTCCAGAGCGTCCCAGGAGCCTCTCAGAGCGCTCTGCGGAGCGCTCTGAGAAGGCCGCCGCGCACGAGACATCCTCGAGGGCCGCCGGGCCTCGGAGATTCTCGATTCATCCTCACCCGATCTTGTTCTCGTCCTGGCTTCGTCTTAACCCCTTCTTCCCGCGGCAGATTTACGCGCCAGCTTCATCCGTGAGCGTCCCGGGGGCCGACCCGCAGGCAAAGTCGCCGGCGGCGAAAAAATGCCACGCCGTGATCTCTGGGGGAGGGGGGGTGGGTGGGCAGCTCCGGACCAGGGCATCCGCGCGAGCCGCCGGTGCTCAGCTGTCTCGACACGCCCGATTTGAAACGCAACACGTGCCGTGCTCAACACGTCCGTGCCAACACGCTGCGTGTTGGCTCAACGTGTGGGCCCACGTTTCGGCGAACGTATCGCGCAAGACCTACCTTCTTCAGTCTACGTGTTGAGTTCCGCATGGAAATGCTGCGTGCTGCATGTTGCGTGCGGGGGGGGGGGGGGGGCGAAGCCCTGGTGCCGTATTTGCTCTTCCTGCAGGCTGTCTTCGGCAGCGGTCACGTACTGTACAAAGAACCCGCGGAACTGCGGCGGCCAGGGCGGCTGCGCCGGGGCCACGACCGAGCTCGCGTTCGACATGGTGAAGGAGAGGGGCATCCCTCTGGAGGCCCACTGGAACGATGCCCCCTCCAATCTGAACCATGCCCCCTCCAGCCGGGACTCCAAGCCGGGCTATTACGAGACTAGCTGCAAGGAGTCGGCCATGCGGAGGACACTAGTGGGCATCACCAACTACGAGGTCCTGCCGCAGAACAAGCTGCACCCACTCCTGCAGGCACTGTACGAGTCTGGAGGCCCCATCGGCGCGTCAGTGGATGCCACCACGTGGTTCGGATACCATGGCGGAATCATGTCGGACCGTGGGGTTGGCATCAAGGCTGCCCTGGGCTCTTCTCTCCTCTCCTTCTCGGCAAGCGCGGGGGGCTCCTCTTTCCATCTCTGCTCCTCGTTCGCAGTATGAACATCATGAGCTTGGGGAGCAACACGAGCCATATGTCGCGCCTGATCGCTAAAGTCCTGCAGCATTTCCCAGCCAGTGTTCGTAATTGGACGCCAGTCGCTGCAGCTGTTCATGTCATCGCAGTTTCTTCTGGTGTGTCACACTGAGTTGTGACATCGCCCGCACGACAGCCCAACATGAATCGTTCGCTTTTGTTCTCGCTTCACCATCCTGCTATTACTCTCAGTCTCCGCCTCTTCCTCTCAAGGGCCGGTTCGTCATCAACCATGCGGTTGCGCTGACGGGCTACAAGATGCCGACGGGCACCGAGCGCGGATATTTGTGAACTTGAAGTCACATAGTGCGTGCATCGACCCCAAGGGATGATTCGGAGGAGACGGAGCGAATGCTCGAGCACACGTGCACACACACATACACACACACACATACATCATACATTCCACGGGGGACTGATACCACATATAGTGGCAGAAGAAAGAGATGCACGGGGAGTGTGATTCCGAGGCGGAGGAGAGAGGAGGGTAGTTTTCTTTTGATCGTGCCAGTTGCGCGCTCAGACCTCCAACGCATTGAAGTATTGAAACGGAGACTTTTCAACGTGTTCGGCATCGTGCGACTCTCGCTGGCACCAGGATTGTCAGAAAGCGGCTCGGGGTGAAACCACGGTCCTGGGACGTTCGGGGCTCCCGCGTTGAAAAAAAGCAAACGAGCCTGGCGAAGAGCCCGTGCCGACATGGACGCGGGGGGTGCGCCATGCGAGCACATTGCCGCTGACGCCTTCGGCAGAGCCCCCCCCTTGTGTGGGGCCACGATCCTCGTGAGGGGTGTGCCGAACTGGGCGGGGGGGCGCCATGCGAACATTGCCGCTGACGCCTTGGTAGAGCCCCTTGTAGGGCCACGGTATGGGCGGCGGCGCCATGCGAACGCACCCAATGGGGCCCTCGGTTGAGCTTCTCTGGGGGGCAGGAAAAGCGCGAGGGGGCTGCCAAAGCGGACTGGGGGGGGCGCCTTGCGAACGCATCCACCTGGGCCTTCGGTGGAGCTCCCTGGGGGGCAGGAAGCGTGTGAGGGTGGTGCCGAAATGGCAGGAGTCCAGGGCCCTCGAATTTAGGGCCGCCCAGCTATCTACGGCCAAGGAGTCCCGGGCCCAGACTTTGGGGCTCGTGGATTCTAGGGCCCCGAAGTCCAGGGCCCTGGAGCCTATGGTCGAGGAGCCTGGGGCCTCGGAGCCCAGGGGCCAGGAGTCCAAGGCCCTGCAGTCTAGGGCCCACAGCTGACGCTGACGCCTTCAGCGGAGCTCCCGCCACGAAACGTGTGAGGGTTGTGCCGGCATGGCCCCAGAGGAGACACGAGGATGATGAGGATGATGGAGAGCAAGAAAGGGGGATGGAAGGGTAGGAGTACAGAGAGGAAGAGAAGAGGGAGAAGGAAGAAGGAGGAGGAGGATTAGCAGGGAGGCGGGAGGGAGGGGAGGAGCAGTGCTGCACATTCGGAACGAGGGCCCACCAGACGGGAGGGTTGGGAACAGTGCATCGGTCCTCGTGGCCGGGCCCGTGAGGATATTGGCGCATCAAGAACTCGTGGGGCCCTCGCTGGGGCGAGGACGGGTTCATCCGGATGGAGCTGAAGAAGAACGAGGAGGAGCCCGGGAGGGAACCCGACCCCCTGTTGTGCTGAGACGAGGGGTGTTCGGCTGGACAAGCGGTTGCAAGACTACCTTTGACGAACGAACAACACACACCCATACCCATAGGGGGGTCATGGGGAGGAGGACTGGCTATGGGTATGGGTGCGGGTTGTCGGACCCTGGGCAAGGCTCCCGTTCGAGCGGGGACCCCCATCCGACAACACGCACCCATAGCCCTCTCCGACCCCCCTATGGGTATGGATGTGTGTTGTTGGTTCGTCATACCTTCGTCAACTGAAAGCAGCAGCAGCAGCAGCAGCAGCAGCAGCAGCAGCAGCAGCAGCAGCAGCGGGAGGGATACTTGCGGTGCCCATCCCCCGACTCGTCCGCTGGCCGCCTGCCACACGGCGCGTCGCGTTCGCGGGGCCATGGCCCGGCGGGCAAACACTCCACTCATCCTCCTCCTCCTCCTCCTCCTCCTGCTCCTCCTCGTCCTCCCTCCTCCTCCTCCTCCTTTCCGTAGCCATTTTGGCTCAAGATGATTGGTTCCCCTGGGGACCGCACGGATACCGCTAGTCCGCGGCCAGACCACCGCTCGCCTTCACCGTGGGAGTTGGGCGCCCACATCCAGTCCTTTCCAGATCGCGCTTCCACGGCCCGCCGAGTGGGCTGCTGCCTGGCGTCGTGGAGATGCCACCGCCGCATTACCGCTCGGAGCAGGCGCTTCCTTGGTACTGCAAGAGCTGCTGCGGGCCCTCGGGGAGACCGTGGTGGAATCATGCTGAGGCGCGGCAGTGTGCGAAGTGCAAGCTCGGCAAGGGACTGGTCTTCCATGGCGTGCGCCAGCCCTCGGCCCCCTCCCAGCGGAGGAAGGGTCATCAGGGCGGCGGCGGCAACGGCTACTGGGATGACTCCGTCAGGGTGGCCCAGCTCAAGTCCGAGCTCGCAGAGGCCCGCAAGCGGCTGGCTGCGGTGCAGAGGCCGCCGCCTGGCGGGGAGGACGTGCAGATGGAGCCGGCCGCGGACGGGGACGGCCCCGAGTCCGTCGCCAAGGACAGGCTGCGCGAGGTCGGCGACCTCATCGGCAAGCTCAAGGGCATCTCCGAGCCGTCGGTCGTGGCCACGCGCGACAAGCTGCTGGCAGAGCAGGCCGAGCTGCGAGCCAAGGTGGCGGAGTCCCGACCGCTCGGGCAGCGACTGCGCGAGATGGGAGCTCAGTTCACCAGGCTGCAGAAGCTGCGCGACGACCAGCAGACCAAGCTCGATGGGCTGCAGGCGCAGATGCGCGACCTGCAGGAGAAGGAACGGCTCACTCGCGACAAGCTGGCGGCCATCGATGCAAGCATGGAGGAGCTGGACCAGGAGCGCAAGAAGCTTCAAGGACAGGTTCCGACGCCAGGCGACAAGGCGTCGCTCGATGAGCCGATCAAGGGGGTTGGTGCCACGCTCGAGGGCCTGGGGATCCTGCTTCAGAGCCTGGGCGCCGATCACCAGCTGTCGGGCAGCCTCACGGCGAGCTTCCAGGAGTTGCAGAGGCTGCAGGAGGCGGAGGCGGCAAAGTTGGCAGCCCAGAAGGCGCAGGCCGATGCTGGGGCCGAGGCTGGGGCCAACGTCGAGCAGGACGAGCGGCAGGTCGATGCTGCAGCGCCACGCACACCACAGCCAACGGCCTTCTCCGACGACCCCGATTTCATGGAGGAGGTCGTCGCCGCTGGTGGCGAGAAGCACAGGCTGGAGGAGATCTTCATGCGTTGGGGTGCCAAGGTCAAGAAGCCAAGGCTCACCCCTGTCTAGCCTGGCTCCACGGCGGTGTTTTGCGTGTATTGTGTGGTTCGTCCTCCTTTGTCGCACCATGGCTTCTGTTGCAAGTATTACCACCGTGAACGTGTCCTCGGGCGGCCCGCTCGTCGATTTCCTGCCCACGTGCTCGAGCTTATGCATCGCGGTGCAGGAACATCATGCCAAGGCCGAGGGCGATGCCTTGGCGAAGTTGCAGAATAAGGTAAGAGCTGCTGGGTACCATGGCATTTGGGAGCCCGCTTTACCTGGGCAGGGAGTTGGCAGCAGAGGCGGGGTTGCGGTGCTGGCCCCTTTGCGGGTGGTCATCACCAAACCCCCAGGCCTGGACAGTCACGTGCTGCAGGAAGGCAGGATGATGGCGGCCCATGTCCACGCGGGGGTGAAGGGCGGCTTCGTCATGCTGTCGTGCTATTTCATTGTGGACGTGAAGCTGTCGCCTGAGAACCTGGCCATGCTGTACAAACTGTACCAGTATGTCAGGTCGCTTGAGGCCATGGGCGTTCCGTGGATCGTCGGAGGCGACTTCAACATGGAGGTAGGCGAGCTCGGCCCGTTGTCCTGGCTCCAGTCGGCCAATGGCGTGGTGCTGGCGCCGAGAGAGCCAACTTGTCTTCAGAGCCTTCCTGGCCGCACCATTGACATGTTCATGGTGTCTTGTCGTTTGCTGCCTCGCGTTCGGCAACCAGTGGTCGTCGACGCGGAGACGTGGCCGCATCTTCCCGTGACCATGGAGTTCTCCGCCACGCCTTTCGACGCGAAGGTCAGGAGGCTAGTCGAGCCACGCGGCATTCGTAGGCCGCCTGCGGCGGGGTGCGCGAGGTTCCCCCCCGACTGGGACCCGATTTTGGCGATCATCCAGAGTGCGTCGGACAGCGAGGGCATCACCAGGGCCTGGGACGTCGTGCTCAGCGGCATCGAGTTCGAGCTGCGGGGCCGCTACGACCTCGTGAATGACGTGGCGGAGTACTCCACGGTGCCAGGCCCCCCAACCTTCGAGCTGGCGAGTTTTCACCCTGTCGTGAAAGGTGCCTGGAGCAGGAGGTCGGCGGACACCCAGGCCTGGGCGCAGGCTGCGCGCTGGGCTCGTCACCTCAGGAGGGTTCGAGTGGCCTTGCAGAGCTTCGTGCTCCAGCTTCGCCCGCAGCAGGTCTTCGAGCTCGGCAGCGTCGGCGAGGCGCACGTCGACGGAGTGCCTGGCCTGGGCGATGGTGCACCCCCTGCTGCGGAGGTCGTCGGAGTGGCTTGTCTCTCCTCCGATGGTGGTCGGCCTCGGTCGAGAGCTCAGCGACACCGGCCCCCGCGACGTGCAGGCGAGGACCTATCGTGGGACGCCGTGCACTCCAAGGCGGCGCGCCACCTGCTGGAGTGCGAGAATTTCTTCCAGAGAATCTGGCGGAGGAAGGGAGTCTGGCCGCACCTGGACGCCGAGGCCGTCGGCTTCTTCTCGCGTGGCATACTTGCCTTAGCGCAGGCAGACTTCGAGCAGCAGGTCGACCGCATCCTGAGTATCTCCTCCGATGCTGAGGCCAAGCATGAGAAGGCCGTGATGCAGAGCTGGAGGCAGTGGGCGCAGGCAGCTTTTGCGGCTGGAGCCAAGGGAGCTCACCGATTCATGAAGCCCAAGGCTCTCCAGGAGATCGTGGACGGAGGCAATGGGCTACAACATGGGTACGTACTGGCTGATCGTAAGCTTGAGTATTGGGAAAGCTTCTGGGTGCGGCATGGCGGTGAGCTGGCTCGCCGACCTGTTGATGCTGACACTTGGGAGCAGCTGCCAAGGCTTGAGGCGGCCGACGTACTCAAGGCAATCCGTTGTTTCTCTTGGCAGACAGGCGTCGGGCAGATCAACATCGCGCCCAGGGCCATGGAGCACCTCTCCCACGGGGCGCTGACGGCCATGGCGCGCCTCTTCGAGCGGTGCGAGCACCTCCTGCTGTGGCCAGACGGCAGATTCCTCTCGAAGCTCGTGAGACTCCCCAAGCCAGGGGGTGGGGAGCGCCTGATTGTGCTGATGAACACGCTGGTCAGGATCTGGGGACGGGCGAGGCGGCCTGTCTCGGCAGCGTGGGAGAAGGCCCATGCGCTCCCAGAGGTCTGGGGCCACACTGGAGGCAAGTCGTCGAGTGATGCGGCCTTTGATTTGGCGCTCACCAAGGAGATGGCGACCCTGTGCGATGACGACGCCATCATTGTGCTGCTGGACATGCTCAAATGCTACGAGCTGGTCAGGCATGATGCCATTTTGTTGGAGTGCAGGGCCAATGGATATCCTATGCGAATGGCGTTCATGCTTGTGCAGATGTACCAGCAGCTGCGTTCGGTGCACTCGTATTCTTCGTATTCAGTGGCGCGCAGGGCGTATCAGGGCATCCTGGCAGGCTGCACCCACGCCACTACGCTTCTCATGGTGTTGTTGACTCGCAGCATTCGCCAGACGATGTCGGTCGCTCCTCAGGTTCAGCCCAAGGACTTGGTGGACGACGTCGCGCTGTGCTGGGTCGGCAACGACCCGAGCGGGGTGCGAGAAATGGCCATTGCCACTCGTGCGTTCTGCAGGGCTGTCCGGCCCCTCGGGCTGGTGCTGCAGATGGATAAGTCTGGGCACCTTACGACGTCCAGGCGCACCAGCTACCACTTTCAGAAGTACGCTAGGCTGCTGAAGATCGCTGGCAAGAGGCACATGCGGTATCTTGGCCACGACCTAGCTGGGTCGTCGGCCACAAGGGCCGTGCAGAAGGGACGCCTGAAGGCCATGCACGGCAAGAAGGCCAGCGTTCGAGCATTGCAGAAGGGAGCAGGACGACAGCGGGCGGCTCGGCTCTGGGCCACGGGTGTGCTGCCATCCGTGGGGCACGGAGCCACGGTCAGCGGCATCAGCGACACGGAGCTGCAGCAGATGAGGACCATGGCTGGCGTCTTCTGTGGCTACAAGGGGTCGGGCTCCCTGACGCTGTACCTGGCCGCGCAGCAGTGGAACTTCGACCCCATATTCCACGCTACCTTCAGCATCGTGGGGCAGTACGCGGCGTGGGTGTGGGATGGGCGTGTGACGCTCTCCCGACTGCAGCGGGCCTGGATGGGCTTGCGTGACTCCTGGGAAGCCCGCCACACTCACGTCACGTGGGCCAGTGCGCAGGGCCCGCTGTCGGCTTTGTGGTTGTCCCTCAGGAGAGTCAACTGGAACATGGCAAGTTCTACTATCTTGGTTGACGAT